CTGAAATTAATATAGATACTCATGCTTTTTTTTGATTAGTGTTAGTATGGTATATCTTTCTGCATACATTTATTTTCAATATATATGTTCCTTTATATTTGAAGTAGTTTCCTATTGACAGCATATTTGGGTCTTGTTTCTTCACACACTCTGACACTCTCCCTCTTAATTAGTTCAAAACCATTGATATTCAAAGTGATTGTTGATATAGCTGATTAATATCCACCACATTTACTTCTTTCTATTTTGTTCTTAATTATTTTTGTCTTCCACTCTTTTTCTTTCTTTTTGGATTTAATTGAGCATTTTATATAATTCCATTTTCTTTCCTTTCTTAGCATATCAGTTCTCCTCCTCCTCCCTCTTTTCCTTCTTCTTCTTTGGCTTTTTTTTTTTTTTGGTGGTTGCCTTAGTATTTTTAATATATGTTTACAACAAACCCAAGAACACTTTCAAATAACACTATATCATTTAATGGGTAATGTAAGTTCCTTGAAATAACAAAGTACTTGTATTTCCTCCCCCATCCCTTATATCATTGGTGTCTTTCATTTCACTTACACACTAATATATATATATAATATATTGTTAATAATAGTCATTAACAACTGTTAGCTGTTAGAACAAAAAAATTAAGAATAAGAAAATAAATGTTTTCATTTACCTTCATTATTCATTCTTTACTTTTCTTCATTTTTATGTAGATCCAAGTTTCTGATATTTATCATTTTTTTCTTCTCTCTAAAATTTTTCTTCAACCTTTTTTGCATAATGAATCTACTGACATGAAGTTCCTTCAATTTTTGTCTAAGAAAGTTTTCATTTCTCCTTCACTTTTAAAATGTGTTTTCAAGGTACAGGTTTTAGATTCTCATTCTTCTCTCCTTCTTTCCTTTCAATATTTCACCCCACTCTCTTCTTGCTTGCAGGTTTCTGAGAAGAGAAGGACTCAAATGTAGTTCTTATCTTTGCTTCTCTGTAGGTAAGATGTTATTTGTTTGTTTGTTTTACTTCTTGCCTCCTTTGGGATTTTTTTCTTTGTCTTTGATTTTCTCTAGTTTGATAAACAGTAAATATTCCATATTAGTTTGAAAAGAGAAGAATGTGTAATATTCTGTCATACTTTAAAAGAATGTTTGATATGATATTCCCAGATGTAGTTCTTCGTTTTTATACTGGTTGGTTGCCTATTACCTTCCCAAGTCTGTGGTTTGGTATCTGACATTAATTTGCCGGGAAGTATCAATCATTATTGTTTCAAATATTTTTTCTGTTTCTTTCTCTCTTTCTTCTCCTTGTAGAACCTGATTATGAATAAGCCAACTACTTGCAGTTGCCCCACAGTTCTTGCTCAGCTCTTTTTAGTCTTTTCTTTCTTTGTTTTTCACTTTTGTGGTCTCCTATCAAGATATTCTCAATTCCAAAGGATCTTTCCTTAGCTATGTCCATCAAAGACATTCTTCATTTCCGATTTATTGTTTGATTTTTTTACATCTAGCATTTCTTTTGATTCTTTCTTAGACTTTCTATCTCTCTGCTTCCATGGTCTATCTGTTCTTGCATGCTGTCTTCTTTATCCATTAAGGACCTTAGCATCTTATTCACAGTTGTTTTGAATTCATAGTCTGACAATTCCAACACCCCCAACATCTGAGTCTGGTTGCAATGCCTGCTCTGTCTCCCTTCAAACTTGATTTTGTTTTGTTTTTGCCTTTTAGTGTGCCTTGTAATTGTTTTCTTGATACTCATCATACTATACTGGATAAAAACAACTGCTGTAGCCAGGTGCTGGTGGCTCATGCCTGTAAGCCTAGCTACTCAGGAGGCAGAGATTGGGAGGATCATGGTTTGAAGCCATTCCAGGCAAATAGTTCATGAGACCCTATCTCAAAAATACTCATCACAAAAAAGGACTGGTGGAGTGGATCAACATGTAGCCCTGAGTTCAAGCCCCAGTACTACAAATAAATAAATAAATAAATAAAGTGCTGTAAATAGGCTTTTAGTAAGGTGGGTGGTAAATTGTGGGGAAAGAAGGAGCATCCTATACCGAAATACTGAAGGCATTAGTCTTTTAATGGGCCTGGATTGTGAACCTCACATGTGCTTCTCATTTCCTTGTCCCCTCAGTGGGCAAGAGTGATTAGCATGGGCTGAAGTTGGGCATTTCCCTTCCTTCAGGTTGGTTAGGCTCTGACAATACCCCTGTAGTATAGGATCTGGCTAAATAGTTTCTTCTGAGGGGAAACCTTGTTAAGAAAAACAGAGTCCTCTGGCGTAGTTTGAAATGTCTGCTTTTCCTCTCTTCCTGTCACAGCGTGAGAGGATTTTTCTCCAATATCACTGTGAGAACCTGGTCAAGGTCCTAGAGGTAAAATTTACAAAAGCTTGAGGTCTACCATGTGCAGGTGTCCCTGGAGTGTGTGTCTCTCATACTTGTCCACCCTAGGTCTCCAGCAATTCTTCAGTGACAGTTCAGGTTTCCTGGGGTTTGTGCTCAGGATTTCAGCTCCAGTAGGTCACAGTTTACCTCATTCTCCAGTACTGGTGTGGTGGCTTCTTTTCGGATGGATCTTGAAGAGTCAGTGATTTTTCAATTTGTTCAGCTTTTTACTTGTTAGAATAGGATGGTGGCTTCAAGCATCATACATGTAGACCAAAAATCTAAAGTCCTTAGTGAACACTTTTCATGTGAAAACTGTATCCTTCCATTCTGGAAGTGTTATAGAGTTATCTGATGGACAAAGCCCCTTTCTGCTCTCACTTTTCTGTTTCTGAAATGCCCATTACTTAGATTTTGAACCTCTTGGACTTGTTCTACTATAATACCTATACATTCTTTGTTCTATAAATGTTTATTTTTTTCTGTAGCACTCTGTTCTTTTTTCATGGATGTAATATTTTCACATCCTTTGAGATACATTGAAGGCCATGAAGTTTTTCTCACTGTGTTTAACTATGACTGGATCCCCAATCCAGATGCCTCCTGTGTTACCATCCCCAAGAAAGAAACTCATGGTCTCCTGCTGGCAATAAACTGATCCTCACCATGTAGGGGACAGAATCTGGGGTCCAGCTGCTGCTTAAACAGATCTCTCACCAGTCTTCCCATTTTAGTTCCAAAATCATTCCCTACTTCTGGAGACACTTGGGGCCGCCAATCTCTAAGCCTTTTGAGGATCAAATGGTGTGCACTAATTTGTACTGTGGCTTTCCTCATTGCTTCCTGAGGATTGATTCACCTTTTGGCATCCTCTTAATCAGTACCAGCCTTTCACCTACTTTTCCCAGCTTCCCAAATATGCTGCTATTGTTTCTTCTGTTTTTTTCTTTTCTGTAGTTTACATCTTTTGTGTTTATGAAGTTTAATGTGATTTTTGTAGGGCTTCAGAGGACAGTAAAATTTGATGCATGAGTTAAGTTTCGGTTTCTGCCCCTTCCTCTGCCCCAAGAGCACCCTGTGCAACCCAGGTGTATGGGTTAGTCCATATGGCTGGGCTGGGCTGGGCCAGTTCATCTGGCCCTTTAGGGACTGGTTGACCATTTACTCAATCCATGAAGGTCAATTGCCTGCCTCTAAACCTCCCCTACCACCAACTCTGACCAGGTGAGGATGGTGCTGCCATTTAGTGTAGACAAGTAGGCTACTTAAAAGATCAGAATTGGCCCTTGTCCCTGGCTCCGTGTTGCTGTCAATAAACCAACAGAATGCCTTGTGGAACAAGGTCCTTCTTAGCGGGCAGGCAGGTAACAGCAGGCTTTATGAGGTGATCTTACAGATCTGGTCTTTAGTTTTGAATGTCTATGGGAGAGAATCTTATCTATTTGTTTTCTGCAGTCCACATTAGGAAAGTGACTCAGGTGAATCAAATTTGGGAATACTTATTTATTAGTTTATAATAAGCTGTGCCTTTTTCCAATAACTGGACCATTTATTACTGTTACCTGGGATATTCCTTATTCAGTACCAAGTGAGAAAGAAAACTCACAGTCATCAGATGTGCTCTGTACACAGGATAGACTAGTAGCATTTACATGTATTGTTTCCAGTAACCCTCAGTGACCCTATGAGGTCTTGCTCCCAATGCTATTTGGGGTGGGCAGGTAGGCTATCAAAGAAACCAAATTTTCTATCTTCATATGTCCCTATAAGATACTCCAATCCTATAAGTTTTGTGGATTTTTTTTTTTTACAACATGGTTTGCTTCCTCGTATTGGAAATTTTCCTGCTGGGAAAATCTTTATTTTCTTATAATGCTGCATTATCTATAAATCTCCCAAGTATGAATAGTCATTGATGAATAATAATCTGAGAACCAACAGACCTGTGGTTTTCCAACTTGAATGTCCACTGGAATAACCTACAGATGTTATTTTTAAGTGCAGATGTTGAATTGGACGTGTGGCTCAGTGGTAGAGTGCTCATGTGAGGCCCTGGGCTCAATTCCCAGCACCATAAATAAATAAATAAATAAACATTACAGATACTCAGTTTCTCTACCAAACCTACTGATGCATCAGGGTTTTTGTCGGTGTTGTTTCTTTGTTTGTTTGTCAACAATCTCCACAGGCTGTTTTCTTTGTGTGTAAGCAAGTGACAGAAGGTCTCATTGTGAGACAGGGTCAAGGGGTGTCACACGGTGTCATACAGGAATGATGGCACCCCAAATCTTGAGCAAGGCACATTTTCCTGGGCAGAAGCATATCTTATGTCAATGCTGCCTGCATTCTCTCCTTCTCTTTTCCTTCATCAGTCAGGATCGCACTCACCCACTGAACTGATTGGCTAGTGGTAGTTCCAATACAGTGGTATATTGGCAATATAGAGACGTGATCACTTCTCTGGAAGTTTATCAACTCTGCGCTCCATTCATTCTAAGATGCACTTTTTTCACATTTCAACATCTCAGAATTGAGCCTAAAACTTGATTGTATCTTAGCATTTGTTTCAATGCAACTGTATTTTTCCTTTCTTAGTGATCTGTATGATAATGGCGCCACTTAAAATCAACACTACCTCTAAATCGATGGCACACAGTGGTTGAAAAGGCACAAACAGGTTGCCACCATGAGCTTTGCTGATGCTGCTCCTTTTCCAGGATAATTCTGCACCTCTGCTTCACCAGTTCTACTAATCTACTACATCTCAACTCTAATGTCACCGCCACCAGGAAGCCCTGTGTCACCTAATCCTTACTAGATCAACCTGAATTCAAGGTCCTTTCTCATGTTCTTGCCTCTGACCTGTATTTATCACACTGTGACATTTGTCCTGTAATTTGTCCTGAGAGCTACTACATTAGCTTCCGGAATAGAGGGATACAATTATCTGTGTTCCTCATGCCTAGCACAGAGCCTGACACATAGTAGAAGCTCAATGATTGTCTGTTGCATGAAAGAATAGTGAAGGATTGAACAGTTATAGCCTACATGTGTTCTGTGACATACATAATCTCACAGGATCTTACAAGAAAGTCAAGGAATGGTGCTGGAAAAGCAGGGAAGACTTTCTGAGGGAAGGAGATAGAAGCTACTCTGCCAGAATGGCTGATGGAGTTAATTGGTCAGGACAGTGATGAAGAATGAGAAAGGGGCCATGTTGGGACCCACTTCTCTCTTCCTGGAAGATTCTGTGATAATACTTACATAGATTGACTTAGTGTTTAAAATTCAGTAGGCTATGGGGTTCAATTCATCCTCACCCTAGTAATTAACTCTGGTTTCTGAACAATAGATGCCCAGGTTCAAAGCAAAAACCAGTTCAGCTCTCAGCCAGCTCTCACAGGAAGTCCTGATGTACTGAGTGTTTGTGGTTTACCCCAGAGCTTCCTGCCAGAGCTGAACAAAGGTAACAAGCCTAAGAAGCCAAGGAGAAGGGGGCAGATAGGACCACAGACATGGCTCCACCATTATGAAGGAGGTGCCTACTGGCAGCCTGTTGTCTCTGAACTTTAACTGAACGCTGTTCTTCCTTTCCCCACTTCTCCCCAAGTGCAGCAAGCATGAGTGCTACTGGGGATGGGGCCTGACCTTCCGATGATTGTCATTTGAGACATTTAAGATTTGACCAACCTAAGTTCTCTCTTAGCCTTCCCTTCTGCATGTCATCTCATGGGCTCATGGTGCCTTCCGTATTTGTGGACTCCCTCTTTTCAAGGAGGACACCATAGATCATTGTGACTCTGTGTCACAATGAGACTCACCAATTAGGTTTTCTGGTGCCTCTTGCATGGAAGCTCTAACACACTATACAAGTGTACACCCAGCTCACCTAGCCCAACTTTGCATTTGAGACCGGGGGACATAGTCTGCTCATTCTGATGGGGATTCAGGTGGCACAGGTGAACTCAGTGGACCAAATTTGATGTTGCTGTCATACTAGCCAGGCCTCTTTCCTATCCTGTAGCTTCCTTTCCTTGACACTGGCCTCCTTTCTATGAGCGGACACTGAGTTACGTCAAAGCATAAGGATGGTGGCCGGTGTCCACCCAACAGCCCCTCAAGCAGCTGGGCTGCTAAAAGAGACACAGGCCAGCAAGCACACCTGCTTGGTCTCTAGGAAGGACACAAGAAGATCTCTAAGATTTTTGTGCTTGGCCACCCATCATCCTCACAACGGAACTTTTATTTTCTCTCTCTTCCTGGAGTGACTGAGATCTACAAGGAGACCAAGGATTCCAGAGCACATGGCTGGGTGGCTGGGTTAGAAGATGGGATCTGACTGTCCCTAAGCCTTAGGAGGCAATGGTGTCCTACCTGTAGAAAGCAGTCAGTGGAAGAGGGGGCCTGCACACCTGAAGTGGAGAAGCTCACAGAGCCTTTTATTGGAAGGACAGTCTATCTTTTTAGCTAGAGGAAGGGGACATCGTGTTTTCTGCATCTCCACTGGGAGGTTTTGGTTGAACTCGAGGCCTGGGGAGGGGTGGACCTTTCTGCTGGTGAACCTGTGTGCCCGTTGGAAGAGGTCTTTTCTTTTGCTGGTTCTGGACACGGTGACCAGGAGGCAAGGGACGTTGACTGGGTGCCTGGGAACGATGAAGAGGAGGTGGAGGAGGTTGGGAAGCTGGCATTTGGTGGGGCCTTGGGCCCCTTTCCTCAGAGGTCATTCTGTGAGCTTTTATCTCCAGCTGTTCACCTGCAACACACAACAAAATCTCTCAAGAGCTCACTCTGGCAATTTGTGACCAGTGCAACAACTGAGCACATCTTATTCACAAGGCATTCCCTTCCGCTGCTTTAGGGAATGAGAGGGGGAAGCAGATGTTGTCCCTACCCTCTGCGAGTTCTGGGTGTGGCAGGGGAGAGAGAAATGGTGATCTCAAGGTAGTGCTCTGGAGAGCTCAAGCAGCCAAAGGGAAGAAGACACTAGGGTGGCGGGCTTTGAACCTGGAGGCTCCAGAGAACAGAGATATACCCCAGAACCCTGCCTAGGTTCCAGCCTAGAAGTTGTTTCCTGAGAGCCAGCCTCATGGGTAAAGCCCACCACGAGTGAGTCTGAATGGTCAGGTAGATATGGCAAATCCACCTTTTGCCCAATTCTGCATCACATTCTGGCAAGAGTTGGGGTACATGCAAGGGAGTTTGAAATTTACTGGTTCCTCAGAAAAACCCATCTCCTTGCTCTTAGAAGAGAAAAATTCCTCCTCTCCTCACCCTTCATTGTGTGGCTTCAACCCATGAGGAAAGGCCCAAAACTAACAACAATGTAGTTTTTCTGGTACTGTTTTAAAATGACACAGGACATCTGTGAGGATGTCCACCTGCTATGGGCCTGAAGGGAAAATCTGTCCTCCTTTAGCCTACTGTTAGGTTCCCCTGTCCCTGGGCCCAAGGCCATCCTCTCAGGCTGCAGAGGGAGACAGGAGGAGATGCTCCCTGGGGTAAGGAATGGTCTCTTGTGTCTCTATAGATTGCAGATTGGGAAACACAGTCCCTCTCTGAGCATGGCCTGCAACTGCAGGCTAACGATGCCCATCCAGACAGTCTGCTCCAGGTGGTTCTGAATGTGAGAGCTCCAAGTCAGACAGTGGGGTTTTGACATGTGAGTGAGTGGCGTGTGCTCTAAGTGCATAGAGAACAGGATGCAGAAAGGAAAGAGCCCATCTTCTCGGCCATCTTTGGTGCATCAAGGTGGCTGAGGTTATGCTGGGGATCTGGTGGGATGGCACTGTGGAGGGGACTTTGATCCCTGATCCCAGTTCCCAGGTGCCAGACATGCCACGTGGAGAACTTGGCTGGCCATTTTTTCATTAGTCTATCTGTCCCACGTTTTGTTCATTTGTTCCTGCTCCTCTTCTAGGTGTGAGGCACAATTGCTAAATGGCAATGATGACTCAGATACAAACACTGTCCTCAGAAAGTGAGATACTCAGAACTACAAATTCCCTCACTCTCCAGGAACGACCAGGGCTGCCAGAGAGGTTCAGACAAAAGGCCACATGAGGGTTGGTGGAGTGATTTAAGCAGCAAGAGTGCCTGACTGGCAAGTGTGAGGCCCTCAGTGCAAACCCCAGTACCATAAAGGGCCACATGAGTTTTGGGAGGGGGAGTGGGGCCCAGTGCCTGAGCCCTCTCAGGCTGGGCTGGACAGCAAAGCTAGCTATGGCTCAGAGCAGGCCTGTGGGTACTCGGTACACCGGCTTCAACCCTTGAGCCACTGTCTAACCTGTGGCCCGCCAGGCTCACTGTCTTCTTCCTTCATGTACACCTCCTGTTATTCAACTCAGGGATGTGGCTGGAGTGAGGTCAGCAAGGCTCATGGGGATAAAATTTAAGGAGGTGCCCACTTTCAGGATTATGTGAAAAACCTAGACACCTTGCTTCATCTAGTCATTACTCTTCTGGCTGAGCTTTCTCACCAAGTGTATGTGCTCTAGCTCCTAGGACCACTGATGACATGGTACAGATAAAGCATGGAGATTAGTTCTTGGCACAAGACTTCTTAGTCAACCTGAGCTAATTATCATGTTGGTCATTTCAGCCTGGTAGTGTGAGATAGTTTTGTCCTGGGGGATGTGTGAAGTCCCCTTTGGAAGAATGCATGGTCTCTGACCTCTAGAAGATGAGAGAGGGCCTTTGCAGGAGATGGGTGGAGAATAGGTTGATCAGGGCACAGAAGTGAGGAAGCCATGGTGTCTAGGGCAGTCAGCAAGCCACTGTGATCCACTAAATGGAGAGTTGGGGAACAATTGTGGTGAAAGATGTACCTGCGCCCAGACTTGGGCAGTGGTGTGGTGAGAAATGGGCTGAGGGCTGGTGGCCTGGAGGGGTGACAGATGGAGAACTGAGGAGAGAAGTCTGAGGAGGAAGCCCAATCCAACACTTCCTGGGGAGTTTCTGGGCATTGCCAGAAGTGGGTGGTGTGGATGTTTTGGGGCCTGCTCTTGGGAAAGACCCATGGTGAGGTGATCCTGTCATGTTCTGAGTGTAAGATTGCACAGAATCCCAGGGGCCTGCCCTCCCAGTGGCACATCCAACTGATGGCGGTGACACCTGGCTTGCCAATTCCTGATGTGTTCTGCCACGGGTGGACCTGGATGCTCCCTGAGCCAGCTCCCCACCTGTGAGCATAAACTTGTCCTACTTGGTGAGTTGTTGAACAGGTCTGATTCAAGGAAATAACACAGCTTAAACACATCCCTCTTGAACAGTCCATCAGAAAGGGAGCACAGATGCCCTGGTTTTTAATCTGTGCTGTTGGGGCTTGAACCTATGGCCTCCTGCATGCTGGGTGAGTACTCTACCACTGAGCTACACTCACGGCCTCCCACAAGTACCTCACAACCTGAAATGATTTAACATGTGTTCCTAGGAGTTTGGTCTTGAACATATGTTGGGCAACCCAAGGACAAAACATTTGTTCATAGACGTGTTCTGACATGAGTCTTCCTACCATGTGGAATGTGCAGCCCATTCAAATATCTCCACACCAACCTTCCACCCAGGGGCCTCAGGATTCCAGCGAGGCCAGTCTGGACACAGCCTCTCAAAGCTCCCCCATTGTCATCACTAAGAATTTGTGAAATCAGCTAACCACAAAATGGAACAAGCTATAACCTCTGCTTCCAGCCTTGACATTCTGAAACTCCTATCTCCTGCTTTTCTTGCAAATTCAAGGTGCCAGCCCTGGGAGGTGTTTCCACGGTGAAGTTGCTGCGGCTTGTGGCTGTACGAAAGAGGGCGAGCTTACCATTTCTCCTACTGCTCTGCTTTTTCCTCTTCCTGAGATGGAAAATGAGCAGTGACACGAAGATCAGCAAGAGGACACCTCCTCCACAGGTGCCAATGATGACATACATGCTCAGACCTTTCTCTGCAGAAAGAAGGGGCATGGGATTAGGGAGGGGGCCTAGACAGAGAGGCTTGCTCTTTCTCTTTCTTTCTTTCTCTATTTCTTTCTCTCTCTCTCTCTCTCTCTCTCTCTCTCTCTCTCTCTCTCTCTCTCTCTCTCTTTTCCTCCCTCCCTCTCTCTCTTTTCCTCCCTCCCTCTTTCTCTCATACTGGAGTTCTGAACTCAGGGCTTCACTCTTGCTAGGCAGGTGCTCTATGTCTTGAACCACACCTCCAGAGCTCAAAATAGTTCTGGCTATGTTGGAGAGAGTCTCACTTCTTGTCCAGGCTGGTCTGGACCACGATCTTCCTATTTTACACTTTGTTCCCTTGCAGGGATATTAGGTGCGTACCATCGTGCCCAGCTTTTTTCAGTTGAGATGGAGTCTTGAAAAGTTTTTTTTGACAGGGCTGGCCTTGAACCTTGATCCTCCTAATCTCAGCCTCCCAAGTGACTAGAATTACAGGTGTGAGCCACTGGTGGCTGGCTTAGAGAGGTCAGGCCTTTACCTCAAGCAGATAAAAGAGCGTCATAGACTTTCCACCTTACAAAGGCCAAGCTTCTGGAGGGTAGCAAGCTGTGTAGATCTCTGCAAGGGCTGGGTGGGGGGAGGACAAGCCCCGTCGCTGCTCCCTGGGCAACTGCTCTTGGGAACTAGAAGGTCTTATTGTCCCTTGCAAGGCCTGCCCCTGTCCATCCCCTTCAAAGAGCGTGCCCCAGAATTTTAGACTAGCAGAGATCATCCGCTAGAGCCTCTAGTTTCAAAGATGAGGCCCAGAGAGGGAGGATGAGTTCCCTGAGGCCACACAGCACTTCTTTCTGACTGCTTCCTTCAATCAGCCCCTTGCCTCCATGTTTCTGCTGTTTTTCATCTCTCATCTCTGGCCTGCAGCCAGTACCCACCCCCACTTGGCCAGGCAGTTAGTTTCCAAACACTCAGGGTGAATCTCTTACCCAAGCAACCCAGCTCTCTCTCCTCACTGTAGCAACCCATCAGAGAAGCTCAGATAGACGCTCACTGAGTTAGTAATGCAGTGGCCTGAGCCTTTAGCTCCTAGACTCTTGGTCACTGCAATGTATCAAGGAAAACAATGACTAAAAGGAAATGGGTTTGAGTCCAGCTCTTCTAGGCAAGAGCTGTGTGACTTTTGGCAAATTACTCCACCTCTCTGAGCCTGTTTCCTTTGTCAAATGGAAACAATTGAAACCTACATGGCAGGGTGGCTGTTGGAGTTGATCAGATAATGGTTGTGAAAGTGCTTTGTAAACTGTAAAACAATGTTCAGATGTGAGGTCTTGATCTCACTAGCACTGGTGTTTCTGGTAGCTATTTCCCAGGAGGGGTGCCGGGCCGCCTGCCCTTTGTGAGCAAATTGTAGTCAGAGAGGAGCAGCTGGGGCTGGGGGGTCAGGGGACTGGTAGGTCAGGAGAACAAGCTGGAGCTCAGCCCAGCATCACAAAAACACTTCTCCAGCCAAAGAACCCTAGGAAGAGACTGTTACACATAAAACCCAAGGGCCCCAAGGACCAGCCAGAGGCTAAAACCAAACACAAATTTTCAAACTGCTGGTTTATTCATCTTGGCTTCCTTTCCTCCCTCTCTGACCCTTTCACTGCCTGCCAGTTGTACAACTTCTCTGTGCCCTGCTAGGAAGGAGCGTTCATTGGCTAAGCAAGCAAAATCCTAAGCCACTGAAACTGGACTTGGGGTCCCCTGGACCCTGCTGGCTTGGAGGAGGTGCTGGGGCTGCTGGAGTCTGTCTCCCCTGCACCAAGGATGGACCCAGGTGGGCAGAGCAGGCCTGGGGTGAGGTAGGGAGAACATGGTCACGCCACGCAGCTCCCAGCTTGTCCTCTCTCAGAGCCCTTGGGCAAAGCACCCATCCCCTTACTTGGGTACACTTGGGCACACTTGGGCATGTAAGCAGAGCCTTATACAGGCTGTCCTCAGGTCATCCAGTGTGGCCCCTTGGGGGCCTGCAAGTGGTCTTCCTGGGGACTTCCCAGTTCATCTCAGAGGCTGTGGCTTTGTCATTCAAAAATTTCCTTACGGTCTCCCCATCCAACCATCTCGTTCTCCCACACTTCCTTTCTGAGACATGTCTCAAGTTCATGGCCTACTCCCTCTTCCTGGTGTTTTAAGGGTATACTCATCTTATCTGAGCCAAGCAGTTAGAATCCGATCACTGCGCCTTGCTGCTGCAGCGTTGTAGGGTGAAATGACCAAATCCCTTTTAGAGTCTTCAAGGGCAGCACCCTCCTCTTAGCCTCCCCCAGGTACAACTCCCATCTCTTTAGTTTCCAGACCCCAGGCCAGCTTCTACTCTGGGGTGTGTCTCCACCCTCAGATCTCACCTCCCAGCATCCTCTCTTGCTCCCTCCCTCCCTTCTTACAAGCACACATTTGTATACTGTGAGATCTAGTTAAAATAACTAGGAAGAGTGGGATTGCCAGATAAAACACAGGCTAGCCAGTAGCATTTGAATTTCAAATAAACAACGAATACATTTTAGAACTATCTGGAACATACTTATAAAGACTTTTCCCCCTAAATCTGGCAGCTCTGTAATCAAGGGTTCCTGAAAGGAGAAAGGAGGTAGCCACACCAATTCAAAGTCACTGTGCTCTCGTGATGGAGAGGGGGAGGATGGTGGTGGCCCTGAGGAAGTGAAGCCACGCTGGTCCACCTGTGTGAATGGCAGATGCTCAGAGGCCTGTCTGTGATCCCTCTGATGGAGGGTGGGCTAGACGTCCTGACTTGCTTCTAATCAACAGAATTCAGCAGAAGTGATGGGCTAGCACTCCAGAGACTAAGTTATAGAGGGCGGTGGCCTTCAGGCACTTACTCTTCCTTTGTCTTAGGTGGCTCTGAAGGACGCAAGCTGCCACACTGTGAGGCAGCCCGGTGGCCCCACATGAGTGAGCCTGGGGATCATGGTGCTTGTGGAGGCTGAAGCCCAGAGAGAGGAAGGAGCTCTGTCAAGGCCATTGGACCAAATTTGCACAGACCCAAACTAGAAGTCCAAGCCTGTAACTTTCAGGCCAGAGCTCAAGCATTACAGCAGGCTGCTTCTCAGAAATTCCTGCTTCAAGGGGGTAGGGTGGGGGAGATGGGGAGGGTGGCATATACCTGTAATCCCAGCACTCAGGAGGCATAGGCAGGAGGATCATGAGTTTAAATTCAGCCTGGGCTACATAGTGAGTTTGAGGCCAGCCTGGCTACATAGAATGACCCTATCTAAAAAAAAAAGAAAGAAAGAAACCCAAAATTACTGCAGGGGGTCAAGGCCAGCCTGGGCACTGGGGATCAACCAGACTCTTGGAGTTTCAGAACCTTCCAGAGCTGACCCCAGGGCTGCCCTCTGTGAGGCAGGAAGGGCTGCCTCAGTGTCCACAGGTCTCTTTGGCTTCCAGTTCTCCCTTCCCTTGGTCCTGCCTCCCAAGGTTTCTACAGCCTTTCCATCTTGCTCCTGATGGCAGGTGCTGGCCACTGAGCCAGATTTTCTACAAAAAGAAATCCTACAGGGGAGTTGTCAAAGTCATGGTCTCTAACTACCAGAGGGACCCCAGGCAGTCAGTTTCTCTCTAGGCAAGAAGGGTTTGCAAGAAATGATCTCTGTAGCTACTCCTCTCTCTCTTCAATCCTGCAATTCTTCCTCCCAGAAGAGGGACTCTTCAACTGCCACAGAGGACTGCCAAGGTAGGTGACCAGAAAACACCACCTCCCTGAAGGCATCTGCCATTGTGCCCTTGGGCCTGGCAGGCTGTATTTGTCAAGTGAACTTGTGACATCCTGATGGATGGCCACCACACACCTGAGCAGCTGATGGCCGCCATGCTGGACTCCTCATTGATTCTGTTACTTGCTGTGCACTTGAACGCTGCATTCAGGTTGGCCCACTTGTATCTGATGACCTTCTGAGTACCTGTCTTGAGCTCCTTCTCACTCTGAAACAGCTTTAATTGGGGGTCTGTTCCTTTCTCTGTCTCACAGGTCAGGGTTGTGTTGCGACAATCCCAGGAGATCTTTGGTTTTGAGACCATCTCTAAAAGAAAAAGATCAAATTCCTATTAGGCATTTTTGTTTTTTAGACAGGTTCTCACTTTGTAGTCCAGGCTGGCCTTGAATTCACGATCTTCCTACCTCACCCCCCTGTCCCCATTGCTGGGATTACAAAAGTGCCCCCAGTAATTTTCTTAATAAATAGACCTATTTAGACAGCAGGAGATTGAGCTGTTTTAGGGCCAGGGAACAATTTCAAAGACCCCCTAGCAATTTTGAAAATCATTTTTCTCTTATTTTATTTAAAAAGAGCACTTAAATTTTATAGAAATGTTATACCAGTAAAAAGTATACCATAGCTAATGCAAATGTGCTGTTTTATACCTTAAAATGTTCTCCCACTCATCATATCATTTAATTCCAGCAAATAGGCTGATTTTTTCTTCCCATTCGTAGTCTGAAAGTCCAAGGCTGTGTAAGATTTAATGCAAGGTCTTAGGTACCCATTAAAAAGCAGATCAGAAGATGAGGTCCCCTCTGAGTCCAAGTTCAGGAGTGTAGGTAAGAGGGTCTCCTGTCTTGACCTCTTCTGGCCTCAGGATGGAGAGGAGTTGACCCTCCAGGAGCCACAGGACCCTCCCTCCCCACCCCCATTCTTGAGGACTCTCAACAGGTGAGGCTAGGACTTAGGGTACCTTCTCCACAGGGGCCTGGGAGCAGGGGGCCAGGAAGTGGGTAGAGAGGGGCAGGGCTTTAAGCAGCCCCAGGCTCTAGACAGGAAGAACACCAGCCTGGAGTTCAGAGGCCCAGTTCTGCCCTCTCCCAGCCCAAAGCTGCTTGGTTATTCACGAGCTTTTTTTCTTCATCTTAAGAAAACAGAAAAAAATATTCCCCACCCGTCACAAAACAGACAACGTGTGGCAAAGCCTGGGCAAACCTTAGTGGTAGTTCTTACATTTGTGATCAGAAACTCCATGCCCCTCCTGATAGTTAAAGCCTGCATCATAGAAAACAGCCTGACCTTGGCATTAGACAGATCCTGTCCAAATCCTAGCAACACTGTTCCTAATTGGGTGATCGCCTTTCTCCTTCCTTTCTTTCTTCCTTCCTTTCTACCTTCCTTCCTTCCCTCTTTCCCTCCTTCCTTACTTCCTACTTCTTTCCTCCTTCCTTCCTTTCTTTCCGCTTCCTTCCTTCCCTTCTTTCTTCCTTCCTCCTTTCTTCCTCTTTTCCTTCCTTCTTCCTTCCTCCCTCCCTCCCTTCCTTCCTTCCCCTTTCTTCCTTCCATCCTTACCTTTCCCTTCTTTCCCTTCTTCCTCTCTTTCTCCCTTCCTTTTTCTCTCTTTCTTTCCCCCTCCCTCCCTTCCTCCTCCTCCTCCTCCTTCTTCATTAATATTGTGCTAGGGGTACATTGTGATCTCTACAAAAGTGCTTACAATATATCTTAGTTAAATTTACCCATCCATCTTTTTCCTTTATCCTCTCCCTTCTTCTTCCTGTCCCTTTCTCTCTTTCCCGAGGCTTGCCATCTGTCTCTTTCCATCTCTCTTCGCTCATTATACAAATAAACAGCTTATTTTTCATAGACCCCCCCGACTTTTAGACAACAATATCTTCCCCATAGACCATCCCAGTCGAATTCTTTTCCCACTCCATTCATAGCCCTGAAGAAATTAAGTTTTTGTCCCATCCCAAAAATCAAGGTAACTCAGAACGAAGAAAATGTAGAAATATCCACACCTGACAAAGTAGTGTACTTTTTCAGGCTTGGGCTATGGTGTTCACTTGTCTTTTTAAACTGGAAAAATTATTATTTTCAAACAGTGACATGCAATCGTTGTGGAAATTGATAGAATATAAAATTATTTAAAGCAGATTAGAAATCACCTGCAATTCCACTACCCAGGGTCAATAATTATTGATATTTTGATATATACCAGATATTTTCTATGCATAAATAATCTATCAATAATATTTTTAAAATTAAAACTGGATTATGTGATTTTTTTGTTTTGTAGTTCTAGGGATCAAACCCAGGGCCTTATGCACACAAGGCAAGCACTCCACTACTGAATTGCACCCTAGTTCCTGGATTTTTACATTTTTATAGTCTACTTATTTTCCCCCTCACTCTGAAATTTATTATAGTGTGACCTTCTTTTTATGAAGATTGGTGAATATACATTTCCACTGGCTTTTTAAATGATGCATTCTTAACTTAGGTAGTAAGTTTCTAACTGCTGGAGACATTTACTAGCATAAAGAACACAGTGGTAAGAGTCCTGTGTAGTGACATCTTCACAGATGTCTCACTGTAAGGCAGCTTTCTACAAATGGCCATGAACTGACAAAGAAGGTCAAATAGTTAGGGCCTTCTCATAGCTGAGAATGCCTTCATTCTGGGCTGCTAGGATTAGCTCCTTCTCCACTCACCCCTGCTTCTAAAGCCCCACATGGTCTCTTTAGGGAAGTACAGACAGGGTGATTGATGCTGTGAGAAAGTTGGAAAAACACAGAGAGGGGAGTTCATTAGCTTTGAGCACACAGGTATTGCTTCCCAGGGTCTCTGGGCACCTTTACAGACATTGTCTCATTGCATATACCAAATCCAAACTCCAAAATGATCCAGGATTTGAAACTTTTAACACCAACATGAAGCTCTAAGCAAAAAATTCTGTATCAGGAAATTTTGTTGCAGGCACAAATCAACCTTAAAAAAATTGTATAAGCCAGGCGCCAGTGGCTCACACCTGTAATCCTGTTTACTCAGGAGGCAGAGATCAGAAAGATCATGGTTCAAAGCCAGCCCAGGCAAATAGTTCGTGAAAACCTATCTCCAAAAAAAACCATCACAAAAAAGAACTGGTGGAGCGGCTCGAGGTGTAAGCCTTGAGTTCAAACCCCAGTACTGCAAAAAAAAAAAAAAAATTGTGTAAGATTACCTTCGGGCTATGTGTATACAGATATATGAAGCATATGTGTTTCTTGAGTCCTATCCTCAAATAGCTCATTATGTATATGCAAATACTCCAAAAATCCTTAAAAAGCCAAAACCTGAAACACTTCTAGTTTCAGACATTTTAGATAAGGGATATTTAACCTGTGGTGGGAAAATCAGACTCAGCATGGACAGGACATTTATCAAGGCCACGTGACAAGTCACAGTGGCAGCACTACAAGATACTGTGTGACGCTGACATGCACACACAACTAGGCCACTTTCCTCTGGCTATGGGATGCAAGGTTTTCTTTTGGGGTAAAGAAAATGTTGATTGTGGTGATAATGGCAGAGCTCTGACTATACAGAAAGCCATTGAATTTTACCTATTAAATAGGCAAATCGTGTGGTATGTGGATTGTGCCACAATAAGGCTTTTTGGAGGGGGACATCAAAGGAGCTCTGGGTACAAATCCAGCCTTTGCTGCTGTCAAGCAATTCGAACTTGACAAGTTGCTTGTGACCTGGCCTCTGTTCCCTTACAGGCAACAAGGCAGTAATCACTACAAGCTGTGGACCTGCTGAGAGCTTTAAATAGAATTTTATAAACAAGTGTGCCTAACCCCTGGCAGGTAACCACTATTATCACCCCAAAGTAAGTGTGACAGGAGTGTGAAGGCACCCACAAGATCCTACGGGGAGGGCTCATGCTCACAACAGAACACAGGGCTAGAGCAGTCACAATACTGACTGTTCCCAGAGTCCATCACCACCTGGCCATTCTCGGCTCCACCCCCTTTCCAGAAGGCCCAGGGGACGACACAGGTCATTTGTAGGGGAGCTCTCTGGGGCTGTGGGAGGGCGGCTGCTGCTAGGTTCAGATGCCGAGGACACAGAGGGAAGAAGAACCTGGGAAGGAGGAGGAGACACTGCCTTTGGCGACATTTCCTGTGTGAAGCACAGTGACGTTTATTTGCTTGCTGAGTCGCTAATCTGTGCTGTGCTAGGGTTCCTGGCTTCCTCTTATCACTCCTTCTCACTTCCTGCCCAGATTCCCCTGGACTTTAACTTCAGTGGCATTTCAATTCTCCTGTCTTCCTTCTTGTCCACCCGGCCACCTGGTCCCTTCCCCAACACACACCTGGATGAGCTCCTATCTCCTCATTTTATAACACCCTTGAATTCAGCCCAGAGCTTCCTAGCTGTAGCTGCTCACAGTGAGCTTTAGAACCTACTGGTGACTAGATCCCAAGTCCAAAATTCTTATACAATTGGTCTGGGATGGGATCTGTGCACCCCCAGCTTCTAGTAGAAGCTAGTAGCATCCCTGCAGGTGCAAACCTGGTCCAGACCCCTCCCACCAGCCTTCCTTGGATTACAGCAGCAGCTGTGTCCCCCTCTCTGTCATCAATACCCACTCCAGCCCTCTCAGCACTTGCACAGATGAAGCCATACCATGTTAAAAATCACCTTCCACTAGGATGTTGAGCTGATCACGAACAAGGGCAGTCCGAGGTCTCCAGCCCTCTCTTGCCATGGAACTCCTTTAGGACACCCTGGCTTGAAGTTCGCTCCATGAATCCTACATTTGCTTGCCCCTTCATCACCCACCTGGGATAGCCATCTTTTTTCTCTGCCCACCTGTCTTCCTTTCTGACTAACACCCTACTTAATCCAGGTTCTTGATGAAGAACCCACAGACACGCAAAGACAGCATTGTGGGCAGACAGACTTGAGGCTCTCTTAGCTGTGCACTTTTAAGTGTGTAGATTTCACCGCCTCACCTGTTCCTCACAGGACTGGAGGCTCCACTGGGGCAGGAGAGGTGTATTAAATTTTCCCCAGAGGCAGAGGCCAAGACCAGGTATATTACATAAATATTATTTCCTAACTTGCTATTAACACCCATGTCGAAATGAAGAAATTTGGGGATTGAAGACTTACCCTGAATTCTCAAGTCAAAAGCTCTTTGCAGCACACTCTTTCCTCCTGTGTCATATACGGTTACATTGTAGGTACCGCCATCATTTCTCTTCAGGTGTTTAATTTTCAGACCTTCATTTAATATCTCATATGATTTGTCTTGCTGAGACGATCTCTTGTCTTTTCTCATTTGTGCCACCATGGTTCCTTCTTTTTCCCAGCGAATTTCATTAATAGCATCACTCGGCTGAGAACCAGGGGTTTCTAGGATGATGTCCTGACCCAGGGCACCCCAGATGGTCCTAGGGTCTTGGGAGACTGCCCCTGTAAAAAGCAAGATGGTTGCTGAGTGTTGAGACTCGAACACTTTGACTCTTAAGACCATCTCAGGAGCTTGAAAGAAGCTTCTAGAAGGGATGCAAAAGAGCCACACACCAACTTACCTTCGGCGGAAAAGCTGAAAATCAGAAGGAAGCTGGCTAAAATCTTCTGTGGGACACTCATCTTTGGGACTGGTTTCCTCATGGGGATTGTGAGCGCTTCTCAAAAAGGGAACCACAGTAAGGCTGGCAGAACCCGCCCTCTCTTTAGGGAGCCACGTGCCTCTTTTTGTCTTCTCGCAGAGCAGAGGATGCACACTTGTACACACTCAGCAAACCCACCAGCTGACGTCTTCCTTCACCAAAACAGGTGTGTTTGCAAGCCTATGTTTACTTATCACATTTAAGCCTCACAAAAATTGGGATCACGTGATTTTATCACCCCACTAAAGAGAAAGAAAACTGAGAAGTTCAGTAGATCAAGAGTGCCCTTTGGTAAAACAAGGAACCAAATTCAACCACACAGCTTTCATCCACTCTGCCCCATTGCTTGTCACAGGACCACAAAGAATGGACAAGTATTGCTAAGTGAAAGTCAGAATATAAATATTTACCCTCTGATCATAAATGCTGGGAAATATATACATGTGAAATGATCAGGAAATGGAGTTTTTCTTCTCTCCTAAAGATATTTTTAATGTTCTAAAATCATCTGTGTGATAATAAGAAAGAATCCTAAATTGGGTCTCAGCTGTAAATGCTTAAAACTCCCAGATGTTATATTTAGCATATATTGTACAACTCTATTGGAATTTGGTTAGGTAAATAAAAACTTGTCCCAAAGCAAATAAGAAACACAGAGACTATAAGAACTATTAAATAACTAAGTGTAAAAACAGCTAAGGTTAGGGCTGGAGGCATGGCTCAAACTGTAGAGCACCTGCCTAGTAAGTGCAAAGCCCTGAGTTCAAACCCCAGTACCACCCAAAATAGCTGAAGTGGTTAACATTACAGATAACCAGTTAGGGAAGAGAGGGATGAGAAGAAACAGAATGATAGAGAACTGGAAGAGGAAAGAGAAAGGGACCTGTGATATAGGGAGAGAGACAGTAGGACAGGGAAGGATGCCCTCTGAAAAGAGAGGTCCAGCAAGAAGAACAGGAAGGAGTCCAGAGCCAGACTCCCCTGGTAAAAATCTAGTTTTATGATCCTTAGGACACAGTAAATAAAAATCTGGTATGAATGTAACTATTGGCCCCAGAAAGTGGAAATAAAACATTGAAGCAGCGGATTATTTACTACTGTGTAAAAGGAAGCCTAAATTGTGAATAAATCTCTCACACCATCCACAATACATTACAGTTGGATTAAAATTTTAAATGCTAGCCAGTGCTCACATCTGTAATCCCAGCTACACAGGAGGCAGAGATAGGAAGGATTGTGGTTTGAGGCCAGCCAGGCAAAAAGTCGGCAAGACCCCATCTCAACTCACAGGTTGAATGTGGTGGTGCATGCCTGACATTGTGGCTATGCAGGAGGCATGAACAGGCCTGCCCGGGGAAAAACCTGAAGTCCTATCCAAATATTTTAACTAAAGCAAAAAGGGCTGGGGGAGTGACTCAAGTGGTAAAGCACCTATCTACAAGCTCAAGGACTTGACTTCAAGCCCCTGTATCACCAAGAAAAAAATTTTAATGCCAAATAATTGAAATAATGCTTAAAAGCCTATATAGGAAGATATTTTATATCTTTGAGTGTGAAAGATGTACCTAACACATTACACAATCCAGAAGTACTAAAAAAAAGATTGTCACACTTGCCCACATGAAAATGTAAAATTTAGGCATAAACAAAGAAATAAGGAATACAGTGAAGAGACATGACAAAATATTTACAGTATTGTAAAAGTTAATATCCAAGATAAATAAATAATATCTAACGATCAATAACGAAAATAGGAAAAGGACATAAGTGATCAGTTTAGAGAAGAAATAGTGTGTGTGGTGCTGGGGATCGAACCCAGGGCCTCACATGTGTTAGGCAAGTGCTCTACACTGAGCTGTGCCCCAGCACTGCAGAAGCAATGCTTAGCAGAAGAAAGATCAAACACCTGAGAAGAATAATGCCACTACACACACCATACAGAGACTGGCAAAATTATAAAAGTCACTAATTAATTTACATCATTGATGTGTGTGAGAATAGACAGGACCCCTCATAAATACTGGAAAGGTTATATGAGTCAATAAATCCGGGAGACAGAGTTTAGAAATTTCTACCAAACTTTAAAAAAAAACTGGGGGCCTAGTAATTTCAATTTGAGAAATCAATCCTACACAAATGATTGCTTAAATGAGCACAAGTTCTGTTCAAAATGCTTGTTGTACCATTTCTGTCGCAAATAACTCACATTATGGTATATTTCGATTATAAAAGATCGTACAACAGTCAGAATGAAGTAGATCTAAAAGTCAGCTATGGAACAATACGTTTGGAAAATCACATGAAAAGTGCAGCTTGCAAAATGCCATACATGTACGGTACAACCTTGACTAAGCTACTATGCCATATACTAACTGACCTGGACTAGTCGCTATTTTTGTAAAGCATGTTTGGAAAAGTCTGGAAGCAATCATGCCACACTTTCTACTTCTTCACGACTAAAAGAAAGCTTCCCTCTTTACTATATCAGCTTCTGGGAAGTTTGGGAATTTTGGGAAGAAACGCATACATTTTGTAATAAAGACCTGTTTAAGTAAGATGCTTATGACACACGTTCTTTCCTCTACAGGGTACACAGCCTCTGAGGATGACTGGCGTGTGCTTTCTCTGTGCTGAGTGCTAGCCCACTAGCCAGATGTCCAGCAGCCATGGGACAGCCACCGTGTGACCTCGGAGTGCTCTGAAACTTCCTCTCACCTTCCTGACAGTTTTCCTACGCTCTCATGGGCAAGTGGAAACCAGCTTTCTCTCTCATCTCGCTCTCTTTTCACATCTAATTCAATTTGGAGTAATTTTGCTTCAAGGGCAAAAATCCATGAAAAAGAAATGAATTGAGAGGCCTAACTGTAAAATTTAAAACTTTACATGTAAAAAAACTATTAAAAATTTAAAAAGCAAGTGCAAGAAGAGAAATTATTTGCAAGACACATGACAAAAGTTAATATCCTTAAAATTAATTTTGCTTATAAAAATAGAAAGGAAAGATGGGCACCTTCTTATTAAAATGGGTCAAAGACCTAAAAGGAGCAATTCACAAAGGAGGCAATACGGTTAAATAACAAACCTACGAAAACATGGCTAGCTCATTAATAAAGAATGTCATACTAATCCATTGTCACTGTTCATTTAAAAAGTGAAAACAGGGCTGGGGATATAGTTCAAAGTACTGTGAAAGAAAGAGAGACAGACAGAAAGGGAAGAAAGGGGAAGAAAAAAGAAAGAAAGGAAGGAGGAAGGAAGTGAGGGAACAAGAAAGGGAAGAAAGGAAGAATTGAAGAAGGAAAGGAGGAAAGAGGGAAGGAGAGAAGGGAGAGGGAGGGAAAGAAAGGGGAGAGAGGAAGTCAGTAACAATGGTGAAAGCAGACTTTCTTGTACAGACTCAGCAGAAACACAAATAAGTAGTTTCTTGTTAGTTTTATTTTGAACTAACAAGTCCACAAGGATGAGTTTTTGCATAAGGAAAGAATGGAGAATTGCATCAACACTTGGCTCTAAGTTTAAGTAAAAATTAAGTGTTAAGTAAAAATTGGAAACAATTTAAATGTACAAGACCAACAACTGGTTAGGCAAATTAAGGTGTGGGAAAGCTGTGAAATATTTTGTAAAGGTCGCAATTGTAGGAGAAGGAAAAAAATCTTTTTCCTCTCCCCATCCTAGGTTTTGGTTTTTGTTTTCCTTTTGGTCGTATTAGGAAGTGAACTCAGGGCCTCGCGGTTGCTAGACAGGTGCTCTACCACTTTAGTCACACCCCTAGCCCTTCCTCTTTTTGGTTAATTTTGAGATATGATCTTGATTTATTCCTGGGTTAGCCTGGACTGCAATCCTCCTGTCCGTGTTTCCTCCGTAGCTGGGATGACAGTCACCTATCACTGCACCAGGATTTCATTGATTGAGACAGGGTCTCAGGAACTTTTTGCTGGGGTGAGCCTCTATGATCCTCCTGATTTCTGCCTCTTGAGTAGCTAGGATTACAGGCGTGGGCTACAGCACCCAGCCCATCCTAGGCTCTTTGCGTCCTCATTTTATTTCTCAAAAGAGTGTTTATTGGTGTGTGTCATTTGGAAGGACATCCCTGTGTGGTGGGTTAGTGGCTATTTTCCTCTTGTCCTTGGTTGATGGTACTCTAGGTTGAACACACATTGCCTTTTAACTGGTTGTATTTTAATTCTGAGTGCCCCACCCAGCCTTGTAAATGGTTCCAAGTCCTGAGAGTGGGTGTGGTCCCGGCTCTGGTGTGTGTATTTCAGGGCACATCTGCTCGATGACTCATTCCTTCCAGCTTCTCCCTAGCCATCTCACTGCAGTCCAAAGGTTATCTCTTGCTCTGTCTCCTTGACTCTTTCTTCTGCCCAAACTAACATTCTGGGAAGAGGATAAGAAGCAGAGGAGGAGGAAGAAAATGTTTTCAGAGGTCTTGCTTTAGCCTGAGTTCCTGGACCAGTAATATACCAAGGGTCCCAACTTCTCTTCTCTCCCCTGGAGTCAAGGAAAAGTGCTAGCAAGATTCAGGTCAAGCTCACGGTCCTGGGGTGTATCTGTCCCTTCAGTCACGCCAGCACTTAGTCCTCAGCCCTCTTGACCTGTGTTCCAAACTCTGGAAGCCTCCTTTTCGCTCCAGAGGCCTCCCCAGTGTCATCTTTGGCCCCTACACCTTCCTTGCCCCCATCCTGAGATCTTCACTAACACCAACCTTCTGTGATCATTGGTGCGTCCACTTGTGCCCTTGTCACACCTACTCACAACTCAGGGAAAGACACAAAAACGCAGCCATGTAAATACCGTTGTTTACTAAAAGCTGACACTTACCATGACGTCAGTGATTATCAGAGAGTCATGCCATGTGTTTGTGGCCAGGTTCTGTTGGTGTTTGTCTTGGTCACATCAATAGCCAAAGCCACATCCAATTTCAGAGACATTGTCATTGTGCTGAGTGTCCTCACAAAAGCGGCCTCATGAACTCGGCCACCAAGGAACTTTCCGTGGCAGGAGACATGTTAGACATGGTTTTTCCCAGCTGAAAAACACCTCTACCATGTGCTGACTCCACCCAGGCAAAATCCGGAGTTGTCCCTTCCTCCTGCACCTCCCA